AATCAGCACAGTGCTAACACACTTATATTTTAAACTCACACCACAGATGATAAAAGCCCTGAGAGAAACAATTACAAAAATCAGTTTTTCTCGTTTTTCAAGTAACTTAACATAAATTAAAATCGTAAATATATTTAAAGTGCAAACATGTCAATTGCAAACGTATTGTGCAAACATTAACTTGTTAAAAATACTATGTAGCTCCCAGTTGCTCATGTAGTGGATAGTTAAGCTCAAATACGGCTCTGATGTGCAGCTGGACCAGAGATCGCTTGTGGTAGCAAAAAACTGTGCATTCTGAATATTTTCTGCAACAAGTCTCTAAATAAAGTAAAATTTTCCAGTGCAGATTGGAGACAACCCATAGAAGCACTGATTTGATCTCATTTCAGAGAAAAATAGAACAGGTTAGATGCACCTAATAAATAAAATTACTAACAAACTCAGGAATCTTTCTTTGCTTCACTGTTCTGGTGCTGAAAATATTGCTAATGCGGATCAAAGGAGATACACAGATGAATGCACCTCTTATTATTTGGAAACTACATTTACTGCAGCTGGCAGAGGCAGAGATTGTTTCTATTGATACACGGAATTTACAGAATCATTTTAAATTGTAATAGGGGAAGACTGCAGGAGGGAGCAGTAAATTACAGGGGGTCCCCAACAAAAACAAGAAACTACGAGTCTGATGAAACCCGCTGGTTTTCCATCAGGCAGTCACGGGGCAGCTCCAGCGACCCAGTGACCGAGCTCAGTCCGGTACCGACACCGGCTCGGCAGAGGGTGAACGAGCCGAGGCGACGTCGTGCTCTGCTTAAGAAGAAGTGTTATTTTCCTGCTTCAGAAGAAGCGTCCAACGTGTTTTTACGCTTTCTCCGAGACATGTCAAGTCACTAAGTTGTTAGCGCCGCGCGCTAAGGGAACCCTGCGTTCCTCTTCGGAACGTGTCGCTCAGCCGCGGCGAAGCCATGTTTATTCACACACAAATGAAAACAAGCGGGGCACTAATATATTACTATGACTCACTCTGATTGATTAAGGGTCAAACAAAGGCGTGTCATTCGCCTGAGGTAAGTTCCTTTTCATTCAGAGGCAGAAATTCAACAGCAGAGCTGTGAATCGTGATAAAAACGGTCTCTCAAAAATGACAGACCGTCAGATGTGTAGATCGTAAAACGGTCTAAAATCGTCATATCGCCCAGCCCTACTCTTTACATACTTAACTCTTTTTATTTGGGCATCCATTCACAGAGTTCCTGTGGGGTCTTAAGTTTAAAATAAATTTCTCTAGATTTAAGGCCTTAAAAACATCCAGGTAGCCGGGAAGCGTTGGCCGTAGAAAACACACTGAAACGCTTTCTGTCTTCCTTCGAGGTAGGGGTGGGTGATTAATTGATTTTAAAATTGAGATTACAGTATGGGTTGGGAACAATTATTAGAAGCAAAATTAGCGATTTTTCTTCTTTTTTTTTTTTTTTTGTTAACATGTTTCAAGTACCTAGCGACAACTCTAGCCACCTGTGTTAGCGATTATCTGAGACTCAGAGATCGCTGTGAAGCACAGATTCACAGCGGTTAGCTTCATTCGTTCTGTATGGTCAGTCGGCTCTTTCCATGGAGCAGCGGGGCTGCCGTCTGCTCCAGCCCTGCTGCTGCAGCAGGTAGCTGTTGTCATAAAATGAAACTGAAAATGGATCGCGCAGCTTGAAGTTGCCTCTGTCTGACTGATGCTACCCGTGCTTAGGTGGAAAGATATATACATATCCTCTCAAATGTGTCAAAACATGTCTTTAAATTCCACGAACATCAAATATTACATCCAGGGGACATTTCCAACAGAATCAGAAAATAACGTATTGTTTCATTGACTCTCATCCATTATTTTTTTGTCCATGGAAGTAGAAGGGTGGGGCTTAGGCTCCCCATACTTAAACATAATGAACAACCCTTTGGGTCAAACAGTAGTATATGCTATCTCATTGCAAATGGATGTACTTTTATCTTTCTGTTGCTGTTTATAAGTATCACTATTTATCAATATTTGCCCTTTATTTTTTCCAAGACAAAGCACAACTTTATTTAACTCCTAAGAGAGAAGATTCTCTTTTATAAAGGCAAAAATCATTAAATGGAGTTTAAAGGCCACTATTAATGTTCAATAAATTTAGGTCATCATCAGCATTAATTAAAAATTGTGTTAAATAGTCAAGATCTCAGTTTCAATCAAAATAATCATGATTAACATTTTTGCCATGATCTAGCAGCCCTACGTGTTATCAACGTAGGGCTGCCATAGTGTTTGGGCTGATGTTGCAATATTTACAGGTTATTCACAAGTGCAGGATTTGAATTGTCAGTATGTGGCATTTGTAGTTTGTGTACAGCCAGCAAATTAGAAAGTGCTGAGTCCAGTAGGTGGCTCGTTGTTAAAACACCGGGATGTGTGTTTTGAACCACATTGGTTTCACAGTTGGTTTGGAAAATCACTGGTGTTATGGATTAATGCGGTTTTGGGTTAACTGGTTTCCTACTTCTGTTAGCGTCTGTGTCAGTCCATAGGTGACATGGTGGACCACCTTGGTCCAACTGACTCCACGCTTCCCTCGATCTGAAAATACGGTCTGCTCTGCTCGGCAGAAGGATAGTTTAAATGCTCTGTACAGGGCTGGATCTGCACAATTTGGGGCCGAGCTGAGCTTAGTGGGAAAGGGCTATATGGTAGAGAAACACAGTTGGCCACAAAAAGCATTTAGCGGGTTCAAGCTATCATCCAGTTTTGGTCACCACCCCACACTTCTTTGTCTTCCTCGGTATCCGGTCCCTCTGGTCTCCAGTGCATAACCGCAGCATGTAGTGAGCTCCATTTGGCTACATTTTTATCCAGTAACCTATCAAAATCAGAGGTGCTTTGGAATTTCCATATGATTACAAAACATCTCATATAACAGTAGTTGTGACATCAGCAGCATCAGACATTGGAATCATTTAACTTTCTATTAATGTCATGTTGATATTAAATTTTGTTCACAGCAGTCTAAAATGGTCTTTAAAAGGTCCTAAATCTAACTTGCTTAAAACTGCAAGATTCCTGCATTCAGTCACAGCATTCTGCCTATATGATATTGGGAGCAGTTTATCTAGAAGTAAAAGCCCAGGTCTCTGTTTTAAAATACTATTCCAAATTGTTTACTATTAGTTTTTTACGTGTCTTGCCTCAATTCTGCACATAATGTACATCATGCTGAATTCTGTTACTGTGATCAGCGGCCATCATCCGAAACTGTTATATTTAGGGATGTCCCGATCCAATATTGACATCGGATATTTCTCCGATATCTGCCTAAAAAAAGCTCTATCGGATTTTATTTGACAGCATTAAAAATCTCCGGTATTATAAGCAGTCTGTTCCGCTGTCTGTCCAACTGTCTCTCCACCTGTCTAACCAACCTTCAGTCCACCCATCCATCAGTTTGTCAAAGCATCCATCCATCCATCCATCCATCCATCCAATCTCCCTCACTTTCATTCATCCATTAATCCCAGGGTATCCGCAGGGTCTTGAAAAGTATTAAAAGTTGATCAATTGATTTGAGGAAAATTAAGAGCATTAAGGTCTTAAATTCAATTTATAAAGTCTTAAATTTGGTTAGTAACATGTTTTTATTATAAGCTTGTCAAGTAGATGCACATGAACTAATCATTTTCAGTTCTTTTATGCTAGCTGTTTGTTCGAGTTGCTGTTCCATGTGACTTTAAGGACTATCACTATAGGCGTGCCTTCCTCATCACAACATATCCAGCTCTTTCATGAAGAAATACATTGAAGCGATGCAGTACTACTGTAAATGGGAATCGATACATTTACTGATTCTTGGCCACAAGTTGAAGATTTTAAACTGTGGCTGCAGCCTTTGACTGAAAACAGCCGCACAAGCTTTCTGTGGGTTTTCTGAGTTTTGCTTTGTTTATTAAAAAAAAAGTACTTCCTTAAAATTAAGCTTAAATTTTATTTTTTTAAATTGTTGAAGCACCATTACTGAAAACCAGATATTGTTAAAGTAGTATCAAAAAATATCTAGCGTTACTCAAGAAAAGGCCTACTTTCCAGGTTGTTTCTTGATTCTGCCATTGCAAAAGAACTTAATAAAATAGCTTCATATTAATAGTTTATTCATGTATTATTGCATTGCAACAGTCTTTATTTTGTTTTAAAGCCTTGAAAAGGTATTGCAATTGATTATTGGATCCCTACATATGCCCTGAATCCATCCACCTGTTCTGTTGTAGGAAATACATGTTAATGTGTAAAACTGTGCCACCTGCTGGTGAAAGGAAATACTGCAAGTGGCTTGGGTCCCCATCAGAGTGAAAACCAGAAAAACATTAAGTTGCCATTTTTTCAAAATTTTTATTGCATAACATTGGATTAGTTATGGAAAAAGTTGGAAAAATTATTTTTTTTAATTCTAATAAAGCATTATGCTTCTTTTTCACTGTCAAAGTTGTGTCCCCACCATGAATGTCCTGGACAGAAGTCCTCATTTTCCACAAGAAACAAGTATGTGTGTGTGTGTGTGTGTGTGTGTGTGTGTGTGTCTGCTCTGTCTTCTCCATCCCCAGTGAGTCGTGGAGGATGGCTGCTTATACTGAGCCAGGATCCTCTGGAAGTTTCTTCCTGTTAAAAGGGAGTTTTCCTCTCCACTGTCGCTTTATGCTTGCTTAGAATGAGGATTGCTGTAAAGACTCTGACACTAGTCAGTGACTCGATGCAACTTGCTGGGTTCCTTATTTAGGAAACTTTTTACTGATTGGCTTAATAACCTGACCTGTATTGGAATGTTTACTGTTTGAAGGCCCTTGAGATGATTCTGGTCTTGATTTGGTGATTTATAAATAATCTTGAATTGAATTTAATACTGAAGCAACACGGATAGCTCAGCTAACAGCTTGCTGTTTAAGTTGCTGCTGACCTGTGATCCGACTCCACACAAACCCACCATGTATTTGACGGCAGAGAGGATTTGGGCGAAGGTGATTTTGCTGCTGTTGTCGGACAGTTTTCCCTCGGTGCAGATCCGGTTGTGGAGGTCTCCTCCGCTGGCGTACTCCATCACCAAGAAGAGGCGGCTGGGCGTCTCCACGACCTCGTACAGACGGACAACGTTGGGATGCTGTAGGGACTCCATGCTGCTGATCTCCCGGGAAAGCAGGCGCTGAGCCTGAGTGTCCAGTCGCATCCGGTCCAGGATTTTCAGGGCCACTTTGTCTGTAGGGGGCAGAAAGAGGTCAGGCTGGGGCGTTTTTCGTAAGACTGGAATGCAGGCTGTGAATTGATCTGGCAGTCATTCAGATTCAGGATATTTCCGGTTTGGATTTTAGGATCATTGTGGTTTTATGACTTTATGCATTGTTTTTGTTTATCTCTGTGAAGCACTTTGTGATTCTCTCTCTGTGATGAGTGTTATAGAAATAAAATTCAGTTACAATGACTCAGTAACATGTTCTAAGTAGAGGTCAACTGAAATGAGTTTCTCTGTTGCCGATGTCGATAAGCAGAGGTCATGCTCAGCTGATTGCAGATTTTTTCACGACTAATATCTAGGTATTTTCCACCTTATCTGCGACCTAAAATGTTTGGAATAACAGTGGAAGCACATTTCTGAATCTGATCTTTATTAAAATCAAACATTTAACCAGTTAATCAAACAACTCCATAAACTGACCAAGTCTTAAAGAGCAAGTCACCCCCTGCCAAATTCTTACTCAACTCCCACTTCCTGTTTGAAAAATGCAACAAATGCTGTTGCCTAGTAGACCGAGAGGGCAGAGCCACTAACAAATACACACACTCACGACATTGTGACATCATAATGTACCATCTAACATCATAGTGTACCTCTTAACCAATAGCGATGGCAGATTTAAATTCAAATGCAGTGCAGAGTTTTTACCTGACGACGGTGCAACATTGACAGTTTTAGGCAGATAATTTAAATTTTTACTAAGATTAACTAAAGTGCCAAATTATTGACTGAACATGTCTACGGAGCAATTAGACACTCATTTATATAGTTTATCAACAAAAAAAAGTTGATTAGAGGGTGACTTGCTCTTTAAATTCCGCCTTTATCTTTTAAAGAGCAAGTCACCCCTACCAGATTCTTACTCAACTCCCACTTCCTGTTTGAAAAATGCAACAAATGCTGTTGCCTAGCAGACCGAGAGGGTGGAGCCGCTAACAAATACACACACACACACAACATTGTGACATCATAATGTACCATCTAACATTATAGTGTACCTCTTAGCCAATAGCAACATCAGATTTAAATTCAAACGCGGTGCTGAGTTTTTACCTAACGACGGTGCAACCCTGACAGTTTTAGGCAGAATATTTAAATTTTAACTAAGATGCACTTAAGTGCCAAATTACTGACTACATTTGTCTGCAGCACGATCAGACACTCATTTACATAGTTTATCAGCAAAATAAATGTTGATTTGGAGTGACTTGCTCTTTAAAGACGAGTTCAGGCCGAAACATGTCAGGAAAACAATATCTAATTACTTCACTGTGTTAAATAAGAAAAAAGATGATTATGAATCAACACAGAAAGAATATACAGAAAATTATTAAATTTACTAATCCTGTAAATGAAAAGTGAACTGATGTTAATGTTTTACAGCGGTTTTTAGGCAGACATCTGCAGTAGCGCCCAGCTGCCAGCAGCGCTACCAGAGTGGCGTATCGGCTGACGTCGGTATCATAAGTGGTAAATGTCAGCCTGGAGTATCGGTCTATCCACAGTTCTGAGAGAATCTTTTGTTTTTGTAAAAGGAAAACAAATCCAACCACTGGAAGTTTTATGGTTCCTCTCACGATGTTGGTCTACCTTTGGTCAGCGCGTGAAAAGCCAGTTTGACCCTGGAGAAGGTCCCGTAGCCGATCTCCCCTCGGACCTTGTAGAAGCCCACCCTGCGGCCGATGATCAGCTCCTTGATGGTTTTCTCATCTTTGCACAGCGCCGTGGTGAGCTTCTGCAGAGGCGTGAGGTGCAGCGAGCCGCCCCCCTCGTCCTCGGGGCCTCCGTCGGAGCTCTCTGTCAGACTGCAGAGGCTGTGAGAGAGCTTCAGACGGGTCACCTGGTACTGGTCTCCGGGCATTTCTGCACAACCAAAGCAGGTCTTCAAACTGCACAAGGGACTCTGAGGGACTAGTCACTCAGGAGGACAGAAAAAAAAACACTCTGGTCTTTAATAATTACGAAACAAAATAAAATTCCTCTTACCGAGAATCCGGATTATTTCTTCACATCCAAATGTTTCTGATCCATTAAAAATAGAAGCAGGTTCTCCTTTTGGCCCCGAAGGAACCAGAACCAAACCACTCCATTACAAGATGGAACAAAAACATCATCGACTCCGCCTGCTTCCCTCCAACAGAGGGATGAACTCTGAGTACACACAGAACAGGTGGGGGGGCTCCTGATGCCCCAGGCCACACCTCCTCACCCCCCGCCCTCCTGCTTCTCCAGAGGACGAAGGTTAGGACTGTATCATCATCTGTAATCCTTTTTGAATTGAGGTCTGCCTTAAATCAATATAAACCATAAAACGTGGGGAACATCGGCAGCTCTGGGTGACCAGAACATTATGACCTTATACGGGAATAACACCTGAGCCATGAGAAAGACGTTTTATTTCTGTGAAATTCAGCTGCAGGCTGTAGCAGAGATGAAACGTTATGTAAGGGTATTACCCAATGTCCCCATGCAGATTAGCTACAGTGGCTGAAGAGCACAGATAAACAGATTACAAAGATCAGCACCTCAGGGGGCGGAGCCACTCCATTCAGGTGTTCTAACCTTGTGAGGAGGAGAAGAAACGCCTCAATGTGACTTAATATCGCTGACCTTCTCAAATGATTCATTGAGATTAATCCGAGGTGCTGGTTTGGGTCGCTTACGGGGTAGAATGGGTCAGTTGACCCAGCAGGACCTAGGGCCTCATTTATCAAGCTAGCTTACACACAAAACGGGGTCGGAAAACTGCGTAAGCAACTTTCCACACAAACTTTGGGATTTATGAAAGAAAACTTGGAGGAAAAATGTGCGCAACTTTAAGTTGACTAAGGACCTGGCTTACACACATGTTGGACATGGAGAACACCTGCAGTGCTGCTGCTGGGAAGATACAATTATGAAATCCTGCAGCATCATCACTTGTACCGCTTCATGTTCACACAGAACAAGACCCCCCCCCCCCCCCCCCCCAAAGCGCAGAATAAGGAATGCTGACTATCAGCAGGGGGGCAGATTGAGACAGGACGTCATGCGTCTGTGACAGTGTGTGTCCTGTCACTGTGACCCGATTCACCACGCGCCCTGGCTACTTGGCCAAGGCAGATCTCCGTTTGGCTGATGGGTTAGCGTGCGTGACTTTCACCCGGGAGTTGAATCCCGGTCAGACCATTTCTTTTTATATCCGCCACAGATCTCTCTGAAGAAGTCAGCATTGACGGCTTCAGCAACGCTGTGCCACTCTGTGGATTTTCTCTTATTTGTTTTGCAAAAGCACTTCCTTTCATTTCTCCACCTCACCCACAGGTACCTCAACTTCTGCTTCTGTGAAATAGCGCTTCCTTGATCTGCCTTGATCTACGGTCGCCATGTCACTGGCGGAGCGCTGCAACAGCCGGCTTATATATATGCATGAGATCCACAAGGCACTTTGCATTGACCATTTATGGCAGTAAGTGGGCGTGGTGAGGGCGGGATGTGACTAAAAAGCAGCTGAGAAACATTCTCATTAGTCTCTGATTTATAAAGCGGAGATTGCGTGCAGCTGTGTGTCCTCCATGTTTGATAGATCACTAACCTACTTGGCGTAAGTACATTTTTTTGCTGAGCTTAAGTACGGTTTTAGTAAGGATTCTACGCCATGTTTGATAAATGAGACCCCTGGTTCGGAACCTCAGGGATCCAGGTTTGTTCTCATCATTTATAAACTGGGTTTACTCGGGTCATCGTTGTCAGAGGGGTGGGCAAAAAAATCATATCACGATTTGGTTTTTGCAAAATCACAATCAAGTTCTTATCATGATTTTTTCTATTTCTACAATTCAAACACACACACACACACACACACACACACACACACACACACACACACACACACACACACACACACACACACACACACAAATCCCAGTTGAGAGCTAGAGATACATTTATTTATTACACATTTATAATAAATATAAAATAATTTGAATTCCATCTAGAGGCGGCTCATTTCACATCATCCACAATATTTCCAGTAATTATTTTTGTACAGAGGAAAAATCGATCATGTTAAGCTAAATTTATGACGCGTCCTCATCTCACGCATTCTCTAGTCACGATTACACTCCCGCTATTTGTGCCTCACTGCTTTCTGTAGCTGTTTCCCGTCAATGCGGGGAAGGACTTGGCATAAACAAAGCTCCGGTCGGCAGCCACCATGAGAAGGCTCACTAAAGCACACATGAACGTCCCCAAATAATAAAATGCAAAGTTTAGAGAACACTGACCCAGAGGTTCCCTGATCGAGTAGACGGGTGAGAACATGTTATGACAGGAGGGACAGAGCACGCTAGTGGCTAACGTTAGCGTCTAGCCAGTGTGCCTTTTCAAAGATTTATATTTGTTTATGTCCGCATCTTAATACATCAATTATTAGATTATTTTCCTCAGCTCTACCGAGCACCCCAGCAAAACAGACCAACACACTAGGGCTGAACGATTTTAGCAAAATATTGAATTGCAATTTTTCTAGCAGAAATTGCGATTTCGGTTCAATTCACAATTTTCTGCAAAGGTCCAACCATCGACATACATATATGGACAATGGGTTTCCACAGACTCCAGTAAGTTTTTGTACTAAAATGGGAGGTGGCCACCACCGCCATTTTGACCGTGTCACAGGTTCCGTCAAGCCCAGACAATTCCATTAAAGGGAAGAGAGGTGGAGCTGAGGGTGGGGCTGTAAGGCTGGGATCAACTGACGACACCCAGTCGAACTAGCTACAAGCTAACCTGAAGCTAACCCAAAGCTAATGCGGAGGTGGGAGCTAAGCTAACGGAGGTAGCGACCTAGCTACAACCGGAGTTAACTGTGCAGAACACCAGAGCTTCTGAGTCAGAGCTACGCCGGGCTGACCGCTGGGTAAAACCGGGTGGAACACAGAGGTCTCCGAGACCTCCACAAGCCGGCAGCCGCACAGCAGACAAGCGCAGCTGCAATCTGAGATGCGCAGAGCTGCGGCTGGGGAGAACCGGGTGGAAAGGTTTCCATCCCAGAGCTCCACAAGCCGTCAGCCCGCGCAGAGGACAGAAGCCGCGATGAGACAGAGACGTGTCGAGCAGCGGGGAGGGGAGAACCGGTGGAAAACATCGGTCTCCCGAGAGCTCCACAAGCCGATAGTGGGACCCCAGCTCCACCAACATGTTATATTTCAACCCATTTTCTAAAGTGCAGCATTATGTTAAATGCACTGGGTTTTACCCTATTACATTTAAATTTCATGGTTAAACAGTACATGTTAAAATCTAAGCTCAGCTCGGCAGTGACCTAAAATACATAAATATAATTTTACTTACAGAAAAAAATGAAGTGGAGACTCCTTGGACGCTCTATTAGTGCAATTAATACCACAGCAAGTCATTTTGTCCAACGATTGCACAAATAATATCCAAAAAGAACACACAAACACAGAGACTCAAAATGCCGGAACAGTTTCCAGGCCAGACCGAAGCTCTACTGAGGCCTTTCCCTGGAGCTAGCTCTGTGGTCACGTGGGTCTGATGCTCATTAATTATACAGAATTTTAGGCTTTTAATACACTTAAACAGAAGAGTGAGAAAAAAATTCACCCCCCTCAGAGTTGTCATGAGTGTAAACTAGATCATTTAAACCTAAAACATGTTTTGGTACCAGGCTGTAAACATGTTTATTTCTGCTGTGAAATTGGTATTTTTAACATGGGAGTCAATGAGGATTTGCTCGCTTCTGACATCAGCCCCTAGTGGATGAGGGTGGAACTGCAATTTATGGTACTTCCGGGTTGAGACCAATTTCTGAGCCGCATTGTGGGGGCTTGCAAATAACCCGAACATGCAGCTCTGGCAGCTGTGGAGTTGGGCTTGGCTCTGGATGGTACACCCCACCCCCCTCCCCCACACTGGCTTTTGCCGCCGCCACAACACAGGCGGAAAAACCCCGGATGTAAAAAAATTACACAACTGATCCTGGATCAGTCAAAACCGCTAAAACCGCAGCTTTGACGGTCACGTGATTGTGCTGTTTGAAATGCAATTTCGGTCCAAAAATAATAGACCGTTCTGCCCTACAACACGCCGACTTAAACTTGCTCTGACTGGTTCATCGGTGTATCTGTCGTGTCGACAGAAGCAGACTAGCGAACAGCATGACTCAGCTGAGAACAAATGTGTGCCTGTAGGCGAGTCCAGAAATAATGGCACAGGTAATAGAATGTGTCGTCCAGGGGCGTGTCCAGGGAGTGGCCTGGGGTAGCACATGCCACCCTTAGAATCTGATTGCCCCCCCCCCCCCCCCAGGTGCCACCCTACTAAGTTCCAGTTTAAATTGACTTTACATTGTTGACAAAAGGCTTGAGTTGTAAACTCCAAAAAGAGTGTGTGGTAGCATGCACCTTTAACATTGTCTTCTAGCCCAGGCCTACAGAACATTTCTGTAGTATTAATATATTTTTTTTTCATATTCACATAAATAGTATTTAAAGTCCCACTCAACTCCAGTTGGTGGTAATAATGCAAGAAGTGACTTGCCAACCACCACAAAACTAGAAGATGACAGGAAAAAAATGGTGATTGTGCAATGTGAAACTCCAAAATTCACTAGAAAGTAAATAAATAAATAAATAATTTGTGTAGATAAATAAGCCTAACCATTGGTGCCACCCATGCATAAACAAGATCCCCACATGGGCCACCCCATTTTAAAAGTCCTGGACACAGCTCTGGTGTCGTCATCATTTTATAACCCTTAACAATCTTAAATCATCAGATCGCACGGCCCGACTTTGTCAGATACAAAATCTGTTTGCTGACCTGAAATATTTAAGGGTCTAAAAGCAAAATCTGCTCTCAATAATAAAAATGCCAATGATGGCTTTAAATGGGACACAAACTGAATCCAATAATATGTTCAGTCAATCAGAGAAACTCTTAAAAACTGGCAGACAATTCAGATTCCAGAGGCCAGGATGTGAACACAGACATCGAGACGAGCATCACCAAACAGGAAGGGGCCTGGTGTGGAAGGAAATTCTACAATACACTCTTAACCTTCTCTTAAGGTTGGTTTGTGCTTGACGTGTCCGCGCGGTCAAATTACATCATTTTAGCAACCACGCCCTTCCACGTGGCCCAAAGTTTCCGCACCGTGCACCTAGGGTATTTTCTAACCATGCGGAAAAACATGGGGGGCTGGCAAGCGCTCGTAGTGGCGGAGGTTCGTAAATACAGACATCTTTATGATTCGACCCATAAACATCACAGTGATCAAAATATCGTTAATAATTGCTGTTACAGTCAGAAGAGACAAGGACACAGTTAAAGAATTGGAAGTTTAAGTCTCCCCCCTTTCCGGTCGGCTTACGGGTCCCCGGAAGAAGAAAAAGTGAACGCAAGTCAACGAGGCTGAAAACGCTATTTTCTATTCTGCTTAGCCTCGTGCCCTGGGTCACACACACATGTATTGTAATTTAAATGAAAACTAATGGTGGGTGTTTCGGCCACGCCAGTCACATACTTAGAGATTTACCAGTTTATAAATGTTCGTAATTAGCATGACTACACACCAGAGACCGGTACGTCGCTTAAGTGACGTCACCACAGAATCTCCTCCCCCCTAGCGTAGCTGCTACTTACCACATGACCAGATTTATGGTTCGTTCCTCCTGAAGGAAAGATTTGAAGCTCGCTGGACTTACAGCCAGTTCTCCTGTTTTTCTCCGTGTCTGGTTTGATTATGTCACTCTGGGGAAGAGCATTTGTAGTCCTGGACTTATCTCACACAAAACCTAAAATAGCGTCCCCCCCCCCCCCCCCCCCCCCACATGCATTAATTTTTCCATTCTGCCGGGGACCCATGGTCCGGAAGCAGATGGGCGTGACTTAAGCTTGGTTTTATGCTTGACGCATTTACTTTCCGCGCGGTGATGCGGCTCGCGGATGGAACGCTCTTCACAACTCGCAGCGTTTATGGTTCATGCGGCTTGTCTCTGCGGTGAGCCAATATTCTCCCAAACTGTAGGGGGCAGCATGGAGCTCTACGGCATGCACCCAACACTACACCATAGTAGAAGTAGAAATTACTGTTTACAACATGGCATTCCAGCATATTTAACAGCGTCCTCGTCTTTTCTGACAGTGCGAGCTATTTCTCTCCAAGAATTATTAACAACATGTTGATCACGGTGATCTCTGAGAGCTGAATCATTCAAATGTCTGTATTTACGAACCTCTGCCATACTAGTTCTTGCCGGTCCGCCATGTTTTTCCGCATCCGACCGTCCGCGTGGTTAGAAATTTTCCGAGGTGCGAGTTGCGGAAATTCTGGGCCATGCGGAGGCGCGGTGGAGGGGCGTGGTTGTTAAAATGACGCAAAATGACACAACTTTTCTGCGCGGACGCGTCAAGCATAAACCAACCTTTAGGCTCCCTATGCTGTAAACAATGATTTCTACTTCTATGGTGCAGTGTTGTATTCATGTCGAAGAGCCCCATGTCGCCCCCTACAGTCTAGGAGAAGATTGGCTCACAGCGGAGACGAGCCGCAGAGGGTCATTAACGCTGAAAGTTCCGATGCGCGTCTCATTTGCGTCAAGCATAAACCACGCTTCCAGCAGCCTTAAAAGAATACTTGTCCTTTCTGAAGTATGATCGGACACTCTGAGCTACGCATGCTCGCTGAATGTGAAAATATTCTCCAACCCCCATCGCCGGCTTTAGCTGCAGAAAGAAAACATTATAGTGTGTTATAATAAATATTGGATGGTCTGGGATTGCTTTAATAACGCATTGAGAGACAATTAAACATCACTGTTAAATCAGAGATCCAGTTTTCACTGAACTACAGCTAAAGGAAGAAAAAGTACAAATGAAGACGTTAAAACGCTTTTATTTGACTTTGGGGACTTTAAAAGCAACCCAACAACTAATTGATGAAATGGTTTCCTTGAATGAAAAGCTATAAACAGCTTTGATTTCTTAAAGCAGATTATTCCTCCGGCTCTCATTCATTCAGGAGTGCCCCCCCCCCCACCCAGCAGGAGTCTAATTGGATTGAGGTCTCAGACGGTGCAGCGTGTGTTTAAATGTGCTCGCAGCACGCTGCTCACCTGCATGCAGCACGGTGGAGCAGATAAATCACACGAGGGCTCAGAGGAGAACGTTCTGCGGAACGCAGCAGAAGTTCTGGGGCGAGGGGTTGGCTGAAGCCCGCTCAGCCTCTGAACAGCTACATCTTTCTCCTCTTGCTGTCGCTGAGGCTGCTGGCTCGCTGACTCGCCTCCAGCTCTCTGATTCTCTGACGTAACGCCGAAATCTCTTTATTCTTCTCCTCCTGGAAATACTGCAGTTTCTGGAGAAAAATGTAATCCGCACAGTTAGAGAGAGGAGCCGTGTGGAGTCGAAGACCTCTGAAACCCTACTAATTGTAAACTAATTAGTTTCTTGGTCAGGAAGCTGCAGCGTGTGAGGTTTCTCACCCTCTTGAAGACGCTCTGTGGAAGCAGGTTGGGTCCATGCAGCTGCTGCTGGTGGCTCCTTTGAGCTGAACTCTGAGCTCTGGCTAACTTTGCACCTAACTGTTAAAACACACAGGCACAAACGCCTCAGTGAAGCAGATTAAACAACAAGCTTCCTGTTTATAACAAATCATCAACTCAAAGCCCCTTCCTCGTGTCCAGCAGTCGCCCATCCCACTCTAGTCGTCTCTGAAGGTGGCCTATAGTCCATCCAGGAAGTCGTTACATTCAGATATAACATGTCTTAACCTAATTTTCCTCTGGAGTCTCACTCTCATCCTACTGGCAGCAAGAACAAGATCAAAACATTCCTGGAGCAGTTTTAGAGTTGAGGAGCCTTTGGGAGGAGTTGGAGACAAAATGAAGACACTTTGTGACTTAATGCTGACAAAAACTTTTGCACAACTGTTAGTTTGTTTGCAAACACATCCTCATCCTTCAATTTTCAGCCGCTTATCTGGAGTCGGGTCGCGAGGGCAGTAGTCTAAGCAGAGAGGCCCAGACTTCCCTCTCCCCAGCCACTTGGGCCAGCTCCTCCGGGGGAATCCCAAGGCGTTCCCTGGACAGGTGAGAGACATAGTCCCTCCACCGTGTCCTGGGTCTACCTTTAGGTCTCCTCCCGGTTGGACGTGCCCTGAAAACCTCACCAGGGAGGCGTCCAGACCAGATGCCTGAGCCACCTCAACTGGCTCCTCTCGATGTGGAGGAGCAGCGGATCTACTCCGAGCCCCTCCCAAATGACAGAGCTTCTAACCCTATCTTTACGGGAGAACCCAGCCGCTCTTCGGAGAAAACACATTTCAGCCGCTTGTATCCGTGATCTCGTTCTTTCGGTCACTACAAAGCTCATGACCATAGGTGAGGGTAGGAACATAGATCGACCGGTAAATCGAGAGCTTCGCCTTCTGACTCAGCTCTCTCGTCACCACGACAGACCGGTACAACGCCCGCATCGCTGCAGATAATGATTCTCATCCCAGCTGCTTCACACTCGGCTGCAAACCACTCCAGCGAAAGCTGAAGATCACGTTCTGATGAAGCCAACAGGACCACATCATCTGCAAAAAGCAGAGACCTGATCCTCAGGCCACCAAAACGGATGCCCTCCACACCTTGGCTGCTCCTAGAAATCCTGTCCATAAAGGTTATGAACAGAATCGGTGACAAAGGGCAGCCTTGGCGGAGTCCAACTCTCACTGGGAACGAGCCCGACTTACTGCCGGCAATGCGGACCAAGCTCTGACACCGGTCATACAGGGACCTAACGGCCCGTATCAGAGGGCCCTGTACCCCATACTCCCGGAGTACCCCCCACAGGGCCCCCCAAGGGACGCGGTCGAACGCCTCCTCCAAATCCACAAAACACATGTAGACTGGTTGGGCAAACTCCCACACACCCTCCAGGATCCCCCTAAGGGTACACAGATGGTCCAGTGTTCCACGGCCAGGACGAAAACCACATTGCTCCTCCTGAATCTGAGGTTCAACAATCCTCTTCTCCGGAAAGAAGTAAGACTTTTCTCAGTCTAACTCCGTAGCTGGTAGGGTGACAACAGTCGCGGCTCGGTGAGGACCATATCGGATGGTGACCACAATAAAAACAATAATATTTCACATCTGTATAGTGCTTTTCTAAGTCAGAGGCCCCAAAGCCCTTTACAGAACAATCGTTGACACGGTTCAAGGCGTCTCACCTTCAGCATCCTTTGTGCTACCATGTGGGTCTCTACTGCTTCTAGGAACACTCCCAACACGAAGAAACCAGCCATTCGTTTTCTGTCCGAGTTCCGTCTTGAGAACTAAACGCCACAAATGATCCGTTTCAGAAAGTCCCCGTTTGTGACCTCACAATAAAGACGATTTGATTACGACTCAGAGTGTTAAAGCGATTATCCGCGCCCAGGAGGATGAACGCCAGTCTCACTCTGCTGAGTTTATAACCTCTATGTGGTCATTCTCTCTGCACTCAACTTGTGGTGCTGCTTAAAAACGATTCACATCCATATCGAGATTCTTATTTATGAAGAATCTGAATCGATCCAAAATTTCCCAGTTTGGTTACTTAAGACATTTTCCTAACACTTCCTAGCTTGTTAGCTGCTCATACTGTTTGTCTGTCAACAGCTTCCCTACCGTACCATCCTAGCACGCGATGCATGGACTTCCAGAACGACCCACTCCATCACATCGGCGGCTCACTGCGTCAGACACCGGGCAGATTTCTAACTCACAGGAAGAAGATTCACACCTCTGATTATCACATGCAGGAAGAACTTCCTGTTATGTGCTCCTCATAAACGGTCCGGGTGCTTCACTTCCTCACTTTCGAGTTCCACCTTTCGTGGTCTTCAGCATTATTGATTATGATGAATGAAAACGATTAGAAATGTTTGTAGTAGGATAGTTTATGTTTGTTGTACTCTCACACCTCTAGTTAGAAAGAGATCAGAGGATCAGCTGCAAAGCTTGAACTATGACTTGTTCTGACCTCCATCTGTAACTTCAGGAGCTCGCTCTGCCTCTCTCTCTCCTGGTCCTTCAGCTTCCGCCTCATCTCCTCCAGGTCCAGGTCTTTTTCCTCCAGAAGCTTTTTCACCTCAGCATCTTTAGTTTCTACTGCAACAGAACAAACAACCACAGCAACTACTCTGGGGGCCACGCAGGTAGAGATGTTAGGTGCCATTAAATGTTTTTTTTTACCAGAGAAAACTGGGAACTAACTCACAATAAACAGTTTCAACTGTTTCTTTTAAAGGACCAAACACCTGTGAGCTCGGGTTGGGCTGAACTGTGACGCTTGGTGGAAATTAGTTTAAATCAAAAGGTCAAAACGTCTCATCTCATCTTTATGATCCAGATCTGTGGATCACCAACAGCTCTGGAGCAGCTGGTTCAGTGCTAGCAGATGTGTGTGTGAGGTGTTCTTACGCTGATGAAGAGCCTCCCTGTGGCACTGCTGTCTGACGGCCTCTAGCGCCCTCTGGTGATGTTCTTCCTCTGCTCTCATTCTGCTGACCAGCTGCTGAACCTGCTTCTCTTTCACCTTTTAACCAACAAGCTGGGTTAACAACACAGAAAACCTCTGATGCGCTCCACTCTGCCCTAAAGTTTCTGTAGGACAAACCAAACATCTGAGCTTTAATGTTACCAGATTAGAGTTTCCTGCTGTTTTTTTTTGTTTACTGTTATTATTCATTCATTCATTTGTTTATATTTTGAGCCAGTAATGTGCCGTAAAACAAACAATTAACAACAGAAATTACAAAAATACGATATCAGCACAACTGAGTCCAAATTTAACAAAAATGCTCTAAAATGGAGCGAGGAGAAGAAAAATGTATTAAACCTCATCCAATCCGTCACATTTCCACATTTACACACGATAAATAACAAAGTGGCTGCCTTCTTATTTCAACTCAAAGGAAAACAAAAAAATCCACGAGTAACCTGATAAAACACGATATCAACCACCATTATGACACGTGCATGCTAATTCTTATTTATACACAACCTAGATATTAGCTAAATGGCTACTCAAACATATGAAATTAGGAAACCTTGTCATCTTTGTATTGTGAACAAAAATATTTTTAATAAAGGGATGTGAAACGATTTATGTTTTGACATTGCTTAAAGAGCAAGTCACCCCCAAATCAGCTTTTTTTCCTGATAAACTACATAAATGCGTGTCTAATCGTGCTGCAGACACGTGAAGTCAATAGTTTTGCACTTCAGTGCATTTTAGTAGAAATTTTTATTTTCTGCCTAAAACTGTCGGTGTTGTTCCGTTGTCAGTAGGGGTTGTATCGACTAGTCGACTTCACTGCTCTGTAGTGACTTTTTATGCCTGTCATCGACTAGTCGCTGTCACGTGATAATGATCGACAAGATGCAGTCCTCGGAAAAGACAGCAGGTGACGAGCTGCTGCGCGTTGGGAGGTGACGCGCTGTGCCAGAGCGTCGGTATCTGACGCCCGCCGTAAAACGGACTTTTGACCGAATTGTGACCTTTACCCTCTCCCCTCACCCCCATCCTAACCTTAACCAGCGTGCACATGCAAAGCTCTGATCGTTGACGCGCTCCAGACATCTGCGTCCTGAGCACGGCCACAGTAACATTATCAAATCAGGTGTCGCCACCTCAAAAACTAATTTAACATGCGATCGTTCATGTCGGCTCATTTCCTTTGATGTTTTCTGTCTTTTATTTGTGCCTGATGCGTTTCGCTGCTGTGGATCAGGGCGCATCACCTGTTTTGTCCTCCGGTGACGCACCTTACCGATGCGGCCGGCGCGCACTCTGCTGTTTTAGCGGTCGGTAGATCTTTTAGAACTGCAGTTCAAAGGTAACTCATAAAGTGAATATATATGAACCCAGGTAGCAGTTTTTCTTTAGGATTGAGAGGAGATGCAGGAAGATAATAAACAGGCAGGACAGAAAAATAGTCAAATAAAAACAGTGTTTCCCCTAGGAATTTTTCCAGCTGTGGCGGGGCGGGGGGGGGGGGGGGGGGGGGGGGGCCTTGGAGAAAAATTATGACACGTCTCTAAATAAAGTAAAAATTTCCAGTGCAGATTGGAGACAACCCATAGAAGCACTGATTTGATCTCATTTCAGAGAAAAATAGAACAGGTTAGATGCACCTAATGAATAAAATTACTAACAAACTCAGGAATCTTTCTTTGCTTCACTGTTCTGGTGCTGAAAATATCACTAATGTGGATCAAAGGAGATACACAGATGAATGCACCTCTTATTTATTATTTGGAGACTACATTTACTGCAGCTGGCAGAGGCAAAGATTGTTTCTATTGATACACGGAATTTACAGAATCATTTTAAATGTTAATAGGGGAAGACCGCAGGAGGAAGCAGTAAAATACAGGGGGTCCCCAGCAAAAACAAGAAACTTTACGAGTCTGATAAAACCCGCTGGTTTTCCATCAGGCAGTCACGGGGCAGCTCCAATGACCCAGTGGCTGTGCTGGGTCAGTTATCGAGCCCAGTCCGGTACCAGCTCGGCCGTGAACGAGCCGAGGCGACGTTGTGCTCTGCTTAAGAAGAAGCGTTATTTTCCCGCTTCAGAAGAAGCGTCCAACGTGTTTTTACGCTTTCTCCGAGACATGTCACGTCGCTAAGTTGTTAGCGCCGCGCGCTAACACGTCAATAGTGCAGCGTAGCCTGCTGGAGGTTTTAAGGGTTCAGATAAAAACACCCGACCTCTCACGCTGCTCACACATCGATCTTAAGTTGTCGCTGTTGCGCTCACATCGTAATACAGTATTAGATGCGGTTAAAGTCAGACATGAAAAAATAAATACATTTTACATGAATAAGTGATGCTTAGCCTGGTGGGGGGAGGAAAACCTGGCAAGATCGTCAACACTCGTTTATCTTAATGCTGCTGAAACATGTAAACAACAAAGCATTATACCCACTGCTACCTTTCTAATTTTAAACTCAGTAACTTATGCTGTAACTGCACCCTGCTCTGCCTGCGCCTTTCTTCTTGCTGCCCGCCGGCTGTGATCACAAGCGACAACATAGTAGTTCCCGCTGCTTCTTCGGGAAACAGCGCAAAAAAAATAAAATAAATAAAACTTGGGATCTTGTAGGCGTGGCGGTAAGATTTCAGCCGTGGCAGGCCGCCACGGCTACGCCTATGTAAGGGAAACCCTGAAAAACAAGTTAGTTTTTGTACCTGCTGGTTGCAACAAACAGACACCATTGAAGGTAATCAGAAGTGAGGAACAGAAAATGAAATAATTATTTTAATGTTTAGAGCAGCAGGAACTCCGAGAGCCTGCAGGCGCATCAGTGAGTTTGCGGCCGCTGTGCCGGGGGGGGGCTGAAACAGGATGCAGAAACTACCGTTGTTAGTTAAAAGAGTTGTTCAACTTAAAAAATGTGGGCACAATTTTAATTGTCAAAAACTCCAGTGAACCAACCCGCTTCAGGTGTATGATGTCATCAACTAGTCAAAGTCGACTCGATTTACATTACTTGACTGTCGACTTTAAAAATAATGAAGTCATGCAACGCCTTGTTGTCAGGTAAAAACTCTGCACTGCATCTTAAATCTTAAATCTGCCATCGCTATTGGCTAAGAGGTACCCTAGAACATTAGCTGGTACCATATGATTTAACAATGTCGTTGTGAGCCTGTGTGTATTTGTTAGCGGCTCCGCCCTCTCGGTCTGCTAGGCAACAACATCTGTTGCATTTTTCAAACAGGAAGTGGGAGTTGACTAAGAATCTGGTAGAGGGCTACTTGCTCTTTCAGTTCCAGACCATTCCACAATTATGATAGAGCTTAGAGGAGGTGGTGACCACAGATCGGACTAGTCTTCACCTTGCTTCAGGTTTATAGGAAACATTCAGAGATCCGTTAAGCTGAGGCCATTGTCTGTTCTCACCTCTTCTGCTCTTTCATTCTGTTGTTTCAGATTAAGAATGTCGTTCTGCAGCCTCTCGTTCTCCACTGAAACAAACATATTAACATTTAATTCCTCAAGTGTACTCTCTAACCACAGCTTTATTAAAATTACACCATGTTGTAAAGCAGATGTAAATCATACATCTTGTTTCGAAAACAGCAAAAACACTCACCACATTATTAGGGTCACCACCTGATACTAAAGCTAATCAGCCAATCAGATGACAGCATTTATTTATCTAGATAAAATGTTCAAGTTTAAACAGAGCATCAGAATTGGGAAGAAATTAGATTTAAGGGACTTAGAACAGAGCATGGTTGTTTCCTAATATAAAAACTTACAGAAGCCCTTTAAACTCAGACTCCTCATTTCACACCTGCACTGATTTGACAACAGATTCAACCACTGGCATGTTCTCGTTAACAAAACTATTCCTGTTTTCCCTCATCAGACCTTTTTATTGGGGATGGAGGTTGTTTTCAGCCACATCATCCCGCTCACCAATCGGCCCACAGAGAAAGGTCTCTGTACTCCCGATAGCCAGTCTGCCTCTGTGTTAGAGTTACCTCTGAGGTCAAACTGCTCCTGTAGAGTCTTTTGCAGCTGGTTCACAGTGACACGAAGGCAATCTTTTTCTGCAGCACAACAACCAAAATGATAAGCTATGTCTTGTTAATTTCCCATATTTCTACATCATAAAAGTGACACTGATGTGTTAGATATTCTTTCTTAAGTTCAAACAGAAAGACAATAATTATCTAAACTTATACTTTTCCTCTAGAGAGAACAATAATATGAACAAGAAAAATATTCAATAGTTCATACAAAAACACATCTAAAATGACACAAACTGAATTTACACAAAAGTTGCAACAAAAGGTTTATTAAATGCATAAAAACGTTATGAGAAGCCATATTTCTCAATTCCCGTTTCCTAATTAACAGCTGACACAAGCAGGTGGTCTGGGCTGTCATTTCACCAAACCGCCAGTAGATGGAGACATTCAAACATTAATAACTCAGTTTAATTTTAAATGAAAGGATAAAGTCTCACCCTCAATCAGGCTCTTTTCTTTAGTTTGATGAAACTTATCGAGTTTTTTGGCATCCTCTAGAATGACCTCCAACACGCTGTTCTTACCATGAAACTCCATGATTTTCTGGTTAGTGACGATAAAAATAGAAACATTTCAGTTCCTATTTTATCACACAATAAACCAAACCGTAAACCCTCACTTTATTCGTTATTTGTGATTAAGTTTACTAAACGTAACAAACAGCAAAGTGAAAAGTAGTTTATGTCGGATATGAAAACGGGTTATTCCATCAGGTTTAGCACAAAAGGCTAAAACAAGCACTGAGCTATAGTTAGCACGCTGACTTACCTGCTCCAGGTGTCCAAATTCCTCCATAAACCTGTCAAGGTTCACGCAGTTTGACTTTGTCATGTTTTTACCTAATAATGTGAAAATAATATCATTTAACTGCTTTTACTTTGCTGTAGAGACGTTGGCGTGCAGCTAAAAAGAAGCTAACATATAGCCGCTAAAAGTTGCTATTGGCACGAGCTCGACAGCAGATGCGTTCAAGGACTTCAGGGAGAAACGTCGACCAATACGCGTTGTTAGTACATCATTGTACCACAGTAGGGGGTGCTCACAAGTGAATATTTACAAAAATTATGTTGGGTTTCTCATTCAGTTTGTTAGCACTCATCAAACATTGTTGTATAAAATGTTTATGTGAATATAAAACAACATTTGTCGTATGTGTAGTATTTTTGTGTCTATATTTAAACACACTCCCAACTTTCCCGACATTTAGCACCATCTGTGTCATTATGATGGAACTTCTGGGTTAACTCCAACCTCCATCTTCTGAAAATGAGATCATGAAACCTTTAGAGAGAAAGGTTTTCCGAATGTTACCTTTGGGGAATCTTCACGTCATGACAGTTTTATATATACAGTATACTGTATATTTAATAAACCAAAAACAACCTATATTGTCTCTATTCTTTCACGTTTTAGGAGACAACAAATAGTTGTATTTATATATATTTTTGAAAGAACGTTCTTCTTGGGGAGACGACGCAGACCACAGGTCCGTGGGATCTGCTACCATTGCCCCTCAGTTGTTCTGTTAGGGAACTTCAGCTCCCACCTTCAGGAAAGCTTAGGCTCCTTGAAAATTGAAGAGCAAGTCACCCCATACCAGAGTATATCTCCACTCCCACTTCCTGTTCGAATAATGCAACAAATGCTGTTGCCTAGCAGACCCGAGAGGGCGGAGACGCTAACAAATACACACACACACACACACAACGACATTGTGACATCATATGGTACCAGCGAACGTTCTAGGGTATCTCTTAGCCAATAGCGATGGCAGATTTAAATTCAAATGCAGTGCAGTTTTTACCTGACAACGGCACACCACTGGCAGTTTTAGGCAGAGAATTTAAATTTTAACTAAAATGCACTAAAGTGCAAAACTATTGACGACACGCGTCTGCAGCATTTATATAGTTTATCAGAAAAAAAAAAGTTGATTTTGGGGTGACTTGCTCTTTAACTCCAACTTCCCCAATGTGATTAGGAACGTTTTATCTAGGGAAACATTGGGGAAAGTTTTGTTTTGTTGAGCAATGAGAGAGGAAAAGATACAGTTTAAATGATTTTTATTTGTCGACACTGTGGAACAGTTAAAAAGCTGTACAGGTTTTACACAGATGACCATTTAGCTTCACTTTTTAAAAGCAAAAATGAGCCCAAAACTAACTTTAGAAAGGAGTGGTTGACTTGTTTAATCAGTACATTTGCAGAGGTCTCTAGTAGGAATGAATGCCTTGTAAGTCGTTTTCGAAGAGACAAATATACCGGTGCACCATTCCTAGGAGCTAAAAGATGCCCATGGCACAGCTGAGCTTCAGACAGCAGGTTGTTGAGTCTTATTTCCTGGTATTCTGACATCTCGCCCCAGGTTGGATAACAGCAGCGCGACTGTACCACTGACTTGCAATGGTGATGTTTTATCTCCACAAATAAGGCCCTGTCCACACGTAGCCGGGGATCTGCCAAAACGTAGATATTTTTCTACGTTTTGGCCTGTCATCCACACAAAAACGGAGTTTTTTCACACGAAAACGGATCTTTTTAAAAACTCCGGCCAAAGTGAAGATCTGCGTTTTCTCCGTTTTGGGTGTCTGCGTGTGGACAGACAAAACCGGAGTTTTAAGGTCCGCAACGTCACTTTCCGCGACAAAAAGAAATGCTGACATCACGTGTGCGACCTGTGTTTACACTAGCCGACAGCATGGAAGCCCTCAGAGCTGCGCTCGCTTTATCAATTGTCCAAGCGCTTTTTGCTTGTTTGTTTTTGCAAGCGGAATTACTGCTCCTTGCGGAAGACCACAGACGAAGGACGAGGTTAAGAATGGGGGAAGTACTGCCGCCTACAGGTCTGGCATGTCCTTAACAACGTATTTATCCGGGTACGTGTGGACAGTTTTTTTTAAAAACAAGGTGGTGTGGATGCAAGTTTTTGGAGGGCGGATATTCGTTTTAAAAAAAAACCCGGCTACGTGTGGACTAGGCCTCAGACGCCTGGAGGAGTTCTGCCATGTGGTGAAGTTGCTAATGCTAACGGTGAGCTTAAACTAGCCTAGATGTCTAGTGTGATGTAGATCTGTGAGTATTTTCTAATCCTAGAGTTTCACTGTGTTTTCTATCAGAAACTAATGCATGAGATAGGTGTAGGAGACTATTTTCATGTTCAGCCTGCATGTGAAACTCAAGAGTTACTGATTATAACCAGAAAAAAATATTTAACAATGATGTATCAGTACACCACACCTTTAAAGTCAATCCACACAAATTCATAAATACGGAGCCTAAGGCCCTGTCCACACGTAGCCGGGGATCTGCCAAAACGTAGATATTTTTCTACGTTTTGGCCTGTCATCCACACGAAAACGGAGATTTTCACACGAAAACTGATCTTTTTAAAAACTCCGGCCAAAGTGAAGATCTGCGTTTTCTCCGTTTTGGGTGTCTGCGTGTGGACAGACAAAACCGGAGTTTTAAGGTCCGCAACGTCACTTTCCGCGACAAAAAATGCTGACATCACGTGTGCGACCTGTGTTTACACTAGCCGACAGCATGGAAGCCTTCAGAGCTGCGCTCTGTCACTACCCGATCCATCAATTGTCCAAGCGCTTTCTGATTGTTTGTTTTTACAAGCGGAATTACTGCTCCTTGCGGAAGACCACAGACGAAGGACGAGGTTAAGAACGGGGGAAGTACTGCCGCCTACAGGTCTGGCATGTCCTTAACAACGTATTTATCCGGCTACGTGTGGACAGAGTTTGTTTTTAAAACGCGGTGGTGTGGATGCAAGTTTTTGGAGGGGCGGATATTCGTTTTTAAAAAACCCCGGCTACGTGTGGACTAGGCCTAAGTCTCCTCCCTTTCCGGTAAGCTCATGGGGAGAATGAAAAAATGAATGCAAGTCAACAAGGCTAAAAAAGCTATTTTCTAATCTGCTTTGCCTTACGCCCTGGATCACACATATGTTGTACTGCAATTTAAATTAAAAGTAATGATGGGTGTTTCGAACACGCCAGTCACGTACTTTGAGGTTTATCAGTAGCGTAGCTGCTACTTCCCAAATGGCCAATTTTACGGTGGTTCTTTTGCCGTGTGCGAAGGATTTGAAGTTTGCTGAACTTAAAGCCCTTTTCCATCAGTTTTTCTCCGTGTCTGGTTCGATGACGTCATTTTCGTGAAGCGCATTTGTAGTCCTGGACTTATTCTCACACGAAAACTAAAATAGTGTTTCTCCCATTCGAAAATAAGCACGTTCTTGGTATCAAAAAGCTTCTTTAGAATTCACGGACATCATATGTGAAATCCATGAAACATAACAAGCGGCATTAGAAAATATCATTTTTAGCCACATTGACTTGCATTCATTTTTTCGTTCTTCCGGGGACCCGTGGTCCGGAAGCAGATGGGCTGACTTTAACACTGATAACCCCTCTCATTAGTAGATACTGTAGAAAAATTATTCTCGCTTTTATAAAACAATAAACTTGGTTATAGAAATGTTTTCAATGGTAAGACTGACCTTAAACATAAAAAAGCTACATAAAATGTTGCACGGTTTCCCATCTCACATTAAACAATGTGCCATTAAATACACGGTGAACAAAAAGCAGCATTATTTTTGTATTAATACTGAAGAAACGGACGACCTGTAACATGAACAGCATCACTCATGGTGATGTTATTAATGCTAAGTAATGCTTCAGACTGCTACATTTTTTCCCTTTTACAATAAGTGCCCGGTATCTGTATGGTGTCCTCTAGATTCCTAGAACCCCCCAAGGCACTTTACAACACAACAGTCAAGTCCCCCCCCCCCCCCCCCCACACACACACCCCATGCACACCTTTAAAGAGCAAGTCACCCCCTACCAGAGTATTACTCCACTCCCACTTCCTGTTTGAAAAATGCAACAAATGCTGTTGCCTAGCAGACCGAGAGGGCGGAGCCACTAACAAATACACACAGGCTCACAACGACATTGTGACATCATATGGTACCAGCTAACGTTCTAAGGTACCTCTTAGCCAATAGCGATGGCAGATTTAAATTCAAATGCAGTGCAGAGATTTTACCTGACAACGGCACAACACTGACAGTTTTAGGCAGGAAATTTAAATTTTAACTAAAATGCAATAAAGTGCAAAACTATTGACGACACGTGTCTGCAGCACGATTAGACACGCACTTATGTAGTTTATCAGCAAAAAAGTTGATATGGGGGTGACTTGCTCTTTAAAAAAAATCTTACAATGAAACAAGAAATTTTAACTGATCCAATTTTTAGAAACCAAATGAGAACAAATGAGAACCTGATTCAACAGGAATCCGGCTACATGAACTCTTGCTGGTCTACAAGCAGGAAACAACTTTCCCTCTTGGTGGCCGAAACATCACGATAAGTCTGTCTGTCAGGAAGTTAAGAGACCATTCTTGCTCCATGTGGTCATATATATGTCTAACCACCGTGTGGTCACATTAAGATTGGTCTTCCTTGTCATTCAGATCTCCATAAGCATTCCATGACCCAGATACGTGAAAATCTACACCAACAATCTGACTGAAGGTGGACTTAAATCCTGGGTTTGTTCTCAGCGCCAGCCTTCTCTGGATTTTCCAGTGACATAACCATCTTTGCCCTAAAAGTCCCATAAGGAGATGCCATGTATGAGGTAGAGTTACCCCCCACCCCCACACTGAGTATGGTGAGCTGAAATTCAACTCAACAGTCCAGGATTTGTTCTCCTTTCGGTCTGAAATGGTCTTTGTGTTCTCTTCTGATTTATGGCGTGATGCTTCCCAGCTGATCGGGTGTCAGGTAGCCGTCCGGCGTTGGACCAGCCTTTGGGATTATTAGGTGGGGGGTTGGCGATGAGTTTGGTGTAAGTAAAAGGCTGTTCTGTCCATCGACCCCCTCCACCACCGTGTAGACTGGTGCTGGGGTTAGGGGAGACTGGGGGATGGTACTGGAATCCTGGTTAGGAGAAGGATAGTGTGTGGGATTTGGGTTAACTCCAGATTGGAAGGGATCTTGAAGGGTCCTTTTGGAGAGTTCTCTGTGATCTGAACTCATCAAAAGAAGCTGAACTTGTTTCGGTTCCTCTTCTTTCTCCATCACGATCTCTTTGTGAGTATTTTCCTCCACCTCAGTCTGCTCCTCAGGCGACAGCAGAACATTCCCAGATGACCTGACCTCACTGACCATGGTGTACACCGCCTCTCTGCATGGTGATACCAAAGAAGGGTCCACCCTGGTGGAGCTTTGGACCCCGAAACCCAGATCGGAGGCTTTCTGATATGGTGCTTCCTTAAGCAGGGTCTGGTTTTGGGTGAAAGGGTGGATGGGTGAGGAGTTTGACTCGCTGAGCAGATCTGGTTCACAGCAGCTGGAGCGACCCGAGTCATCATCTCTGAAGCCACCTGAGAGTGGGGAGTAGTTGGTGGACAGGGAGTGGTCCATCAGGCAGTTTGTGTCCAGATCGGTCAGTTTTTCATTTTGATCCTCAATGTCCAGATCGATGAACTCCACCCAGGGGTCGCTGTTGTAGAGCTCTGGTCTCAGGTCGGGAGGACCACCAAGGATGGACGTCAGCTCTCGAAGCTTTCCTTTCTGGGAGACAACAGGAAATAAATCAGGCAAGTCAACGCAGTCCATCACAGAGTAAAGCAAGTGATCTTGCAGGTTTCATTTCCAGTTTATCCAGATATGTTTTAAAAGTTGTGAGCTGAATCAAAAACTTGATGAAAGTGAAGCGAGAAAAGATCAGAGACAACAGATCCACCAGAATCTCAAACTGTTGAGAATTTAGCCCAACTCCTAGCCACTTATAATAATAATAATAATAATAATAATAATAATAATAATAATAATAATAATAATAATAATAATAATAAAACAGTGCTGTTCTACGTCTGGGACTCCAACGCGCTTTACAGTACGAACATTCACACACTGAGAAGCAAAGCCACCATCAGTGCATCCTAACTAACTCAATGGGCAGGATCCTGTTCCTGGAAAGAAACAAAGGAACAGTCGAATTCCCAAGACCAGCAGAAGAACCTGGGAATTCCATCCATGCAGCACACCACGCACCGGTTCAGTTTAAACCACAGAGACTTGTACGTCCTGAAGACCAGGCAGCCAGACAGGAATGCTCTGAGCAGCACGTGGGGAGACTAAACAACAGCTACAGAACATGGTGGCTCACCCCCGAAGACACCACACACAAAGGACCAGAGCCAGCGGTTTACCAAACTCATGTCATGACAACGAGGCTCAAACGCCAGACGAGTTATCTGAGAGGGGTTCCGGAATTGGGCTGAATGATTTTAGGAGAAGGTTGAATTGAGATTTCTACTTCAAAACAAGGCTCAGCACAATATTCACAACGGTAACATTCACATCAAACTATCAGAATATTAAAAGCTGTTGCTCTAATGCAGGGCTCCCCAACTTTTTCTGGCCTGTGAGCTACTTTTACAATCAAAGTACGTAAGAGCTACCGCCATACGATTTATTCACGTTGATACTGTCTCTGTGTGTACATGCTCATGTTAAAAACGCTATGCTTTCTACATTAACACGCCTTTTATTCACTAGCTGTTTTCTCTGTCTTTCAATACATCCACATCATTATAAAAAGCACAAGGAAAACAGCGACATTCTGAAAATCCAACTAAACACATTTTGTTTATTAAAGAGCAAGTCACCATCGGAACTTATCGCTTCTTCGGATTTGCTGGTTCTGACCAACATTCCACATCACACCATTCTCCGTCTCATCCACCTTAGGCCCAGTCCACACGTAGCCGTTTAAAAAAAAAAAAAGAACATCCGCCCCTCCAAAAACTTGCATCCACACCACCTCGTTAAAAAAAAACTTTGTCCTACGCCTTATAGCTCATTAAATAACAAGTCATTTAAATCACCACACAACGTTGTCATGTTCTGTGTGAAGTTTTAGCCATCGGTCCTGAGGCCCAGAGAGAGAAACTTTTACCTAAACTACAATCAGTGTCTTTTTATCCATCACTACAAGTGAAGAATCTGGGCGTTATTTTCGACTCTGAGCTGACTTTTATTCCCCTCAGTCTCGTCTCGTTTTTGGATCTCTAGTGCTATTAGTGCTTCTTGAGTCTCTAGTGTTTTTGGATCTCCCGTTCAGTATTTGGGTTTTTGTTTTTTGGCTCCCTGCCTTTTGGATTATCCCCAAATAAAGGATTTTTATTTCATCTTCCACCCCTGCCTCGTGTCATCCTGGGTTTCTGCATTTTGGGTCCTAACCTCCTCCTTGCTCGTATCGTGACACTCCCCTGCTTGTTTCTGCTCCTCCTCTCAGGTCATTAGTCTCACCTGTGCCCAATTCCCGTAATCACCCAGCCCCTGCGTATACAGGTGCTGGCCAGTAAATTAGAATATCATCAAAAGGTTGAAAATATTTCAGTAATTCCATTCAAAACGTGAAACTTGTACATTATATTCATGCAATGCACACAGACCAATGTATTTCCAATGTTTATTACATTTAAATTTGATATTTATAGGTGACAACCAATGAAAACATCAAATCTGGTATCTCAGAAAATTAGAATATTCTAAAGGCCAATGAAAAAATGTTTGTTTCTCTAATGTTGGCCAACTGAAAAGAATGAACATGAAAAGAATGTGCATGTATAGCACTCAATACTTAGTCGGGGCTCCTTTTGCCTCAATAACTGCAGTAATGCGGCGTGGCATGGACTCGATCAGTCTGTGGCACTGCTCAGGTGTTATGAGAGCCCAGGTTGCTCTGATAGTCGTCTTCAGCTCCTCTGCATTGTTGGGTCTAGCGTATTGCATCCTCCGCTTCACAATACCCCATAGATTTTCTATGGGGTTAAGGTCAGGCGAGTTTGCTGGCCAATCAAGGACAGGGATACCATGGTCCTTGAACCAGGTGCTGGTGGTTTTGGCACTGTGTGCAGGTGCCAAGTCCTGTTGAAAGGTGAAGTCTGCATCCCCATAAAGTTGGTCAGCAGCAGGAAGCATGAAGTGTTCTAAAACTTCCTGGTAGACGGCTGCATTGACCCTGGACCTCAGGAAACAGAGTGGGCCAACACCGGCAGATGACATGGCACCCCACACCATCACTGACGGTGGAAACTTTACACTGGACCTCATGCAACGTGGATTCTGTGCTTCTCCGCTCTTCCTCCAGACTCTGGGTCCTTGATTTCCAAAGGAAATGCAGAACTTGCTTTCATCAGAAAACATAACTTTGGACCACTCAGCATCAGTCCAGTCCTTTTTGTCCTTGGCCCAGGCGAGACGCTTCTTGCGCTGTTTCTTGTTCGAGAGTGGCTTGACACACGGAATGCGACACCTGAATCCCATGTCTTTCATGAGTCTCCTCGTGGTGGTTCTTGAAGCGCTGACTCCAGCTGCAGTCCACTCTTTGTGGATCTCCCCCACATTTTTGAATGGGTTTGTCGTCACAATTCTCTGCAGGGTGCGGTTATCCCTAGAGCTTGTACACTTTTTTCTACCACATTTTTTCCGTCCCTTCGCCTGTCTGTTAATGTGCTTGGACACAGAGCTCTGCGAACAGCCAGCTTCTTTAGCAATCACCTTTTGTGTCTTGCCCTCCTTGTGCAAGGTGTCAATGATTGTCTTTTGGACAGCTGTTAAGTCAGAAGTCTTCCCCATGATTGTGGTGCCTTCAAAACAAGACTGAGGGACCTTTTAAAGGCCTTTGCAGGTGTTTTGAGTAAATCAGCTGATTAGAGTGGCAGCAGGTGTCTTCTATATTCAGCCTTTTCAGAATATTCTAATTTTTTGAGATACCAAATTTGGAGTTTTCATTAGTTGTCACTTATGAATATCAAATTTAAATGTAATGAACATTGGAAATACATTGGTCTGTGTGCATTGCATGAATATAATGTACAAGTTTCACGTTTTGAATGGAATTACTGAAATATTTTCAACCTTTTGATGATATTCTAATTTACTGGCCAGCACCTGTATAACCCTGCCTCGACTGTCTGTGTGTTGTTGGCCCGTTGTTTTGTTCCCCTCCAGAACTCTAGGTTCCTGCTCATAAGTGAGCTTTTGTTTCTGTCACTCAGTGTTTTGTACACTAGGCTTAGGCCCTGTCCACACGTAGCCGGGGATCTGCCATAACGTAGATATTTTTCTACGTTTTGGCCTGTCATCCACACGAAAACGGAGTTTTTTCACACGAAAACGGATCATTTTAAAAACTCCGGCCAAAGAGAAGATCTGCGTTTTCTCCGTTTTGGGTGTCTGCGTGTGGACGGACAAAACCGGAGTTTTAAGGTCCGCAACGTCACTTTCCACGACAAAAAATGCTGACATCACGTGTGCGACCTGTGTTTACACTAGCCGACAGCATGGATGCCCTCAGAGCTGCGCTCGCTTTATCAATTGTCCAAGCGCTTTTTGCTTGTTTGTTCTGGCAAGCGGAATTACTGCTCCTTGCGGAAGACCACAGACGAAGGACGAGGTTAAGAACAGGGGAAGTACTGCCGCCTACAGGTCTGGCATGTCCTTAACAACGTATTTATCCGGGTACGTGTGGACAGAGTTTTTTTTTTAAACGCGGTGGTGTGGATGCAAGTTTTTGGAGGGGCGGATATTCGTTTTTTAAAAAACCCCGGCTACGTGTGGACTAGGCCTTAGATTCCTGCCCCTTTGGATTTTTGCTCCTCGTCATAAATAAAAGGAATTTAATTTATGCAACCGCTCCTGCTGAGGAGCTCTGGATTCTTGCATTTTGGGTCCAATCCGCCTGCTCTCATTGTGACAAACTTAATCCGAGATCCTGGTGTTCTGAAATGGGAAAAATATACGTTTCTTTAAACTTCCTGGACTCTGTAAGCTTCAAGTGGCTTCTTTCAGGGAGTGCATCCGTCGCTGTGGCCGTGTGAGACCTACCTTTAAAAGATCCGGGTCGATTCCTCGGATTTTAGGTCCAGGAACAGGAGGCAAAAGAATAAACATCAACCTGAAGGTGTTAAAAAATAATCATCAGTTTAATCTCAGATATAATTTAAATTCAAACTGACATTTTAAATCAAACTTATTTCTTCTACTTGTTTAACTTTTCTACCAAAACCTAATTAATGTTGCAGCGTCCAGGTAAGGATGGAATACTCACTTTTCTTGCTGTAATATGACGACGAACATGAGGACGGCCACCAGACAGAAGACCCCAAACATCAGCAGGGCCACCACTGGAAACCTGGAAACTGGGGAAAAACAAGAAGAGAAAACCAAATTCCCTTCACCATAAAATCACTGAGTTCAGGTACAGCAGTGGTCTGTAAGCTGTGGTTCTGGAGCCACATGTGGTCCGAAGTGGCTCCCCCCAGTTTGGCCCAAAACACCTGGGGCCTATTAGGAGTGATGATGGCTAGAGGCGCTAGCTGAAACGTGCCAGCTTTAAGGTAAACATCTATTTATTACTGCGCTGTGTAAAAAAGAACAAAGTCACGGATGATGAAGTCACGCAGAACGAATGTACAATAGGGAAGAGTGGTCTTTAAGTTTCACCATCCAGTTATTTTACACAATTTAATCACGACTTCCCATCATTCAGATTCTGCTAAAATGTCTGGAGCTGTTTGGACTGCAGGGAACGGGTTTCTGGTTGGGATAATAAAGAGTTCTTTTAACCCTCCCACTGTCCTAATGGGTGACCCCGCCAGGAAAGTTGACCATTGAGCAGGATTGACGGTTTATCCCTTGAGGTCCACGTGTCAGGGGTGAGGAGTGAGCACCACCTCACCCCTGACACGTGGACCTCAAGGGATAAACCATCAATCCTGCTCAATGGTCAACTTTCCTGGCGGGGTCCCCCGTGAAGACAGTGGGAGGGTTAAAGGTTATGAAATAGCTTCAAACCGTAACTGAAGTTGGTTAGCTTGTTTCTTTATTTGGTCTTGTAAAACCCAGCATAAGTCTGATATGGCGCTTACACATTAGCATCGGTTCGGTCCCTTATGGTCCCTTCCAGGACCAGAATTTGGTTTCACACACAGGTCAGATTTGCGTTTTCGGTGCCGAGGCGACTCTTTTTCTCAGACCTTCTCCCCAGTGGTAAGACTGGGACCGAGGCGACACTACGGACTGAATGGCCGGCTGAAATTACGCCTACCGCCACCTCTTCAAAGGTGTGTCCCTTGTCCTTCAGGTGAAGGTGGACTGCAGAGTTTTGACCTGAAGAGGTGGCTCTCCTGTGTTGTGTTATGTTCTTGAGTAACTGTTGTTTAGTTTCTCCAATAAACATCTGGACAGTGCTCCTACACTGGACTGGGCTCAAAAATCAAACAACTTGGACTCGGATCAGGGGCAAAAATGTGGTTGTGACATCTCTAGATATAAGTCAGCTTTAAAAACTAAAACTATTATTTATGAGCTAACATTAACACTAATGACACTAATTGATATATTTTTATTATGTTGTTTGAACCCAAGGGTCTCATTATCTGAATGTTCTAGCTTGTTGGATTGCTCTATAAGTGCCGCTTTCTTTACTTTGAGCACCCGTCCCGTCAAAGATCTCTGCACGGCCCTGTGTGTGTGTGTGTGTGTGTGTGTGTGTGTGTGTGTGTGTGTGTGTGTGTGTGGCATAAGATTACGAGGACACACACAGCCAGGGGCGCAGATAGGATTTTCAAACTGGGGGGGACAACGTTCCAATGTACCCTCCCCCAACCACACACACACACACACACACACACACACACACACACACACACACACACACACACACACACACACACACACACACACACACACACACAAACTATTGCAAGCGCCTTAACTAGAGCTCAGTCAGTTTGTGTAATTTCCTCCAACGGTTTACGTAAAAACTAACTTTTATATACGTGTTTGAAGCCGTTATGCAGTGGAGCGCTGGCAGCAAAGCTCTGCCTGATCAACACTGCAAATGATAAATGACCCGCACTTGTATAGCGCCTCTCAGAGTGAGGACTCCAAAGCACTTTACACTACAGTGTATAATTCATCCATTCACACACTGATGGTGATGAGCTACGATGTAGCCACAGCTGCCCTGGGGCGCACTGACAGAGGCGCCCCACTATTTAATTCAGTCATTTGTTATTCTCCCAATCAATTACTAACCAAAACCTCATACTTTATGCAAAACATTAAATGATTTTCAGCATACCGATCTTTACAGAAAACATAAAAACCCTAAAAAACTGCACATAAAATATATTAAAAAACAATATTCACTTATCACTTAGAGCAGTAGTTCCCAAACTTTTCAGCCTGACCAACAGATGTTCCTTCATATTTTTACGTTATTTAGAAATTTTCATTATATTTGGAAAGTTTTGATTTATATATAAATATATAAATCTCTATTTAAATTTTATATTTTACTTTTCTTATGATTATGTGGCACACTTGACTTCCATACATAACGCATCGGCATCTGCCTCTTTTTACGTTTTTTTTTTTTTTTTACATTGTCGCTATGTCTGTCACGTTAGCGGTGTTTTACCATCGTTTCTACATCCATCACGTCCCAGAGAAGGTTAAACCAAATCAAACCCAACGTTTGGAGCTTGTAAACTCCACACACCTCTCGTGCAGCACCAGCTGTCTGATGCTGCAGCAGCGTCCATCCTCCCGGCTGGATGAGTGAATTTCTTCATCAGAGTCAATATTCTGCTTCATAATCAGAGTCAGTCATGACCAGACAAAGTGATCAGTCAACAAAGACCAGACCTGCCGGCAATTATACTTTTTATCTAATATTTGCGCTCTTCATGCTGCGCGCATCTCCTCCTCTCCCCGACTGGGAGCCTCTCGGCGGGAGGCGTTTTTCAAACTCTAAAAACACTCAAACTTTGCTCAGCCTGAAGGTTCCACATCTCCACTATCTTCTGGTGTAAAGTAGTAACTTCATGAGGGATCATATTTGTAGATGAGACTTGTTAAAGTCAGCAACGAGGCTTCGGCGCTTATAACGAGTAAGTCCCAACACTGACAACAACGTACTGAAACTAGAACCAACACGCATAAACAGACAGATCGGTCCCGCCTACTTACACTGTTGGTCTTTTTTAAATACGCAGCAATCGTTGTTTGCCTTTTTCGCTTCATCCTGCGTCCTAGCAGCAACCACTTTGGCGCCTCTGGAGTCGGTGTTTGTTTACGTCATGCTGCATTCAATGTAATTGGAAAAAGGAGCTTCAAGCGCTTAACCTCCGATTTCATTTTCTTTCTGGCCTTAGTTGGGGGGACGGATCGGGGCCGATCTGAATCTGGGGGGGGGACAGATCCCCCCCATCCCCCACTCTATCTGCGAGCCTGCACACAGCATAATGTGGTTCATTGTCTCCAAAAGCAACACAGCTCATGTCTGCCTTTCGTTTACCTTATGGAGTGGACTAGCGCGTCGTAAACGCCGCCCACAGGCTTGGAGATTTTCACATTCCTGAGAAGTCCCTCGGATTTATATGTGAACACCACACCGCCCATACCAGCCCAAACTCACGCCATCCAGCCCAACCAAACCCAGACCGTGCCGACGCTAATGTTGCTTTTTTCTACGTATAACCTCAAGTGTAGTCGAGGGAACGCGTTCATTTGCATCGCATTGTGCTGTTTTGTGGTTCTCCACAGCCTCTATAGCGTTATAGACAGTGTTGGGCAAGTTACTTTCAAAACTGTAATGCATTATTTATTACTTGTTACCCTCATTTTAACGTAATTCATTACATTACAATATTACTGATTTTAAAATGTAAGGCATTACACTACTTTTGCATTACTTTAAGTTACTTTCACCAAAACAACTTCAGTATGAATCTGGTAATCTGACGCTCAGTGAGCTCATGACATATATGTGGAAGGTGATGTGGTGTCTGAGCTAGGATTGCTGTTAAAACAGTCAGATATAATAACAGTGCTTTAAAATGATTGTTTATTAAATAAAAGCAACAACAATCTGTACTCTCAGCACGCTGACATCTTAGATTAACTGAGCAGGGAGTGAGGTGGTGGGGGCTCCAAGCCTATATTTGCCTTGGTCCTCAAATGCCTTGATACGGCCCTGGATGTGGGACTGACTTCTGGGGTGATCTGATTCTATCACATGTAGAAATATTAAATGCTTATATATTATTGCTTTTCACTGGTAAATGTGTATTGGGGATAAATCTGCCTACTTTTTTTCATTTCAAGCACTTTGTTTTGTTTTCTTGATTTTATGTGAATAATTTCCAGCCCTTTCTCTCTCTAACCTTCCTGCATGCTGCATCTTTTCTCCGTCTTCCAGATTTCCTACTTTCTAACTAGTCAGCCAAAGGGATCTACCTAACGCAAAAATAAATAAATAAATAAATGCTTAATATGCGCTGCGCTCCAGCAGCAATGAGTTGAAATTACCGGGGCACAGATTATGAACTCAGCTGAAAAGTACATGAAGTACCAGAGAATATGGGCTGATATAAACGATCGCAAACGAATGACTTTGCTTTGGTGGAGCGATTTAGTGAATATAACAGCAGTCGCGCGCAGGACGCAGCTGGAGTATTTGAGCCGTTACCGCTGCGTCTTCTCTGCTCATAGAATGCACGCAAAGCTGAGTCCATAAATGACGTCATACATGTGGATACTGGATCTTTTTTCAGGCTTCCCGCAATTTGATTTTTTAGGAAACCCACATCTTGATTCTGGGTTTAAAAATGCATTGTAATTACAGCGTTACTGACAACTGTACCGAGTAAATATTACCATTTTCTTTCCCTGTAATGCCTTACATTACCACATTACAGCAAAAAGCAAAGCATTACAGTAATTCAATGAAATCAAATCAAATCAAATCAAATCAAAGATACTTTATTAATCCCAGAGGGAAATTAGAGTTTCAGTACACACAATTCAGAGAACAGACATACGTGGGCAAGACACATGACAAGAATTGGTGACTGTGGTCATTCGCAACCCTGAGTCGCGCTACCTTAATAGAGATAAGAGGGTTACACGAGGATTGGTTCAGGTGGAGGGAAGAAAAAGGCACTTCAGAGTTACCCTCCTCCAGGAGGGCAGCTTTGCTCTGCAAAAAAACACCTCAGTCTGCAACAGACTTCAGACAACACAACATAAGTGTCCACTAGGTGGGGTGGTGGGTTGGGACTATCCACACTTCAGTTCCTGCAGCCACGGTAAGCAGCGCATGTCACCTCAGTGTGGATGGGGGGGGGGGGGGGGGGGGGCATTGAGGGTTGGAGGGTTGCAGTGACCCTGGACGCGTCGGTGGCCTTCCCGCTGTCCCGCCCAGGCTGGGAAAGGAGACAGAGTTGAGTTGCCATAGCGACGGCACATTCCACATATCTTTTGAGGGGGGAGTTTTCGTTGGAGCCTTGCAGGCTCAAGGACGCTAGATTCCAATTAGAAATTGTTTTGGGGCCAGACAGAGATAATTTCCTCTCTGTCTTACAGTTTGTTGGTCCTCAACCTCTCAGAATCCCAATAATGGACATTAATCTATCCCAATCCGTGCTGATTCGTCCACTCTCTCATTGATGGCATCCATCTTTTGTGCCAAAGAATGAATCTCGGCCAAAGTTCCAAGCTTACGATTCATCTTGACAATTATGTGAGTCTGTGAATTCACAGCGCGATGCAATCCATCTCTGAGCTCCGGGATCAGGCCAATATTCCTCGACAGCTCGTTAATTTTCCGGTAAGCCAGGTAGCCTCAATTGCTGATCAGCAGGAAACCCGACACCAACACCACGAATATCCACACGTCTTCAGAGTCCTCCACAGACAGCTGAGATAAACAGATCAAGTTCCACTGTTTCCAGGAGTCCATGATGTGTCCAACTGGGTCTGTCCCGGCGGGACATCCGGGAGCCCCCTCTCCCGTTCTCATCGTTGAAAAATTTTTATCAATCGCGTTGAGAGACCAGCTGAGCAGGTCCATTTTAGTAATGTCAGTTTCCAGTTTCCAGAGAAAATGCAGAAGCAGCCGTGCACCCAGCACAGAGAGACAGACAAAGGCCTTGAGGAAAAGATATGGAGGAGAGGAGGAAAAAAAGCGTCTGCACCCTCCAAGAGCCAGAACAAGAAGTGAATTCATTACTTTTGTACCGCGTTACTCCCAACACTGGCGTTATGCGAATAAAAAACATTAATCCATGCTCTGTCTGTGTTTGAATGAAAAAAAATCTGACATTTAAAGCAACATTAAAGAGTTTTTAATGCTGATTTTAAACTGGTTTCTGTGACTGTTCTGCCATAAACTTGAGCAACTTCTCAAAGGACAACGCTCTGCTGCCCTCTGCTGACCAAAACCTGCATTTACAGTTCTGAGGCGCACTAGTGGGAGGTCTCTACCCGTTTTGGCCATTAGCTGTTCACTGTGCTAGCAGCTAATAGAAAACTAGCAGTTAGCTTTTATCAGTTTGGCAACAGTCTGTAAAAAGCACAAGAATATGAAGAATACGATGCTTGATTTGCGCAACAGTGTGGATATTCTTTTACTTTGTTACTTATTTGGTATCCGGTGGCTCGTGTTAGCGATAGCTCATTGTTAGCGCTAGCTACAGCAGGCGGGTTTTGTCACTTGTAATTCCACTTTCAACCAGTAGGACACAGAAGTGGGAAACCTATTTAGTGTTGCTAGCTGTGGCTTTACCCAAGGCTGCAGACTCCTAGTTTACAGGATCAGAATACACACTCGTACGAGGCTAAGATGATATTCACACGTAGAAACCTTTGTTTTGTGACCTCTGACCTAGGGCTGGGCGAAATAGAAAAAAAAAGCCTGTCGATTAAAAAAGATCATAATGATCAATATCAATACTTATTGAAAACTATTGGAAAAATGTCAGATGTATTAAATAAGTGCAGCCCTGGCCATCGTAGGCCATTACTTAATGATAAAACAAGTTGGTTGCATCACCAGACTTGTTTTTTATCGATTCTCTGTTGTAAACCATCGTTTGTTTTTTGTCAGACTTGTAAGAACGAAAACATCGCCGCCACACTAGTGAGGTATTGTAACCTTTGGAGGGGCGACGGTGGCACAGGAGTTAAGTGCTCGCCCCGTAATCGGAAGGTTGTAGGTTCGAGCCCCACTTAGTGTGTCGCTGTTTTTGTGTCCTTGGGCAAGACACTTAACCCACGTTGCCTGCTGGTGGTGGTCGGACGGACCGGTGACGCCTCTGCCTTGCCTCTGTCAGTGCGCCCCAGGGCAGCTGTGGCTACATCGCAGCTCATCCCCACCAGTGTGTGAATGTGTGTGTGAATGGGTGAATGACTGATTGTGTTGTAAAGCACCTTGGGGGGTTCCAGGACTCTAGAAGGCGCTATATCAAATACAGACCATTTACCATTTCTTCCACCTCTCCCTGCTGCAGCATCGTGTTTAAGTCACACTGCTGCCTGTTTAGGTTTGAGAGGGGAGGGCTTGGTGAGGGAGCGTGCTTGGGTCGGTGATTCTGATTGGTTGGGTGTAAGTAATGACTCTAGTATGAAGCTATCCAATAGGCTATAATGGAAAAAGGAAGCTTTTATTGAAGCTTTTATTGATCCATTTCTTCCTACTGAACCACATGTCTATCGTTGATATATATCATTATGAATTATCATCCAGCCCCACTCTGACCTCTTTAACAGTCCCTGAAAGTGAGTTTACCTTTAGATGAGATGTGCACGAACACAGAGTCGCTGAATTCGCCGAATAACTTCCCCCCGAGCATTTTGCAGCGAACCCGGACTTCGTGGTGGACGTTTGTTTGAAGGCCGAACACGGAGCGATGTGGACTTTTCACAAGATTCATCTGTGGTGAAAACCTTGTATAAATACAAGCTTCAGCAGGAAGATCATTGTGAGAATCTACGGAGACCCACCACTTTCCACTCGTCAGAATCCACATCGCGGTACTGGACCTCGTAAAGCAGCGTCAACCATCCCGTCTCCACGTCTGCAGACCGCGGAGGCTTCCAACTTAGCATGATGTCAAAATGCGCACTGGTCAAGCTCACGTTCATCAGCGTCCAGTTTAATCCCACAGGTGGGTCGGGTTTAACTGTAGGGAGAAAAATTCCCTTTGATCAGTGCTATGAAGTCAGAGTCTGAAACTAAACAGGAAAAATGATTAAAATACTGTAATAGAAGTTTAATCATCATGAAGCCCACCGATGACTGAAACCTCGACGGGAGTCTCGTCGTAGAGGACGTCCTGGTCCCTGGAACGAAGCTGAATGGTGTAAGTGGTCCAGATGGTGGTGTGGTTCTGATCGAAGAAGCACTCGTTTGGCCTCTCCATGCTGTACTGCGGACATTCACTCCAGTTTTCCTGAGGGGCTGTGAGGGGCCTGAGGGGTGGGGGGTATAGAGAGCTGTTAGAAACGTCCTTTTAGCTCAGAGGCTAATGCTAAATACCGCTTTGTTGCAGCATTTCTAATCTCATAATCACAAACTATGAAATAATATAAGAATAAAAACAGATTTAGTTCGTGCTTTTTACTTATTGTTCTGAGCATCAGTTCGTTTTCTGAAACAAGGGTTAGGGTTAGTTAGGGTTAGGGTTTACTGGTTAGGGTTAGGGTTTACTGCTGGAAAACGGTCGGACCAAAAAGCATGAGCTCCAATAAAACAAGAGTGTTGTGTTGCTCAGATAATAGTCCAACAGGAACTCATAACTTCCTTTAATCCTTCACAATAAGAGTCTCAAACATAAACATGTGACTCAGAACATCTGGAGCCTATAAAATATTTTATTTATCCTGCGCTTTGACTTTTGTCAGACAACAGGATGAACAGGAAGGACTTGGAAGTTTAAACGGATAAAGGGAAAATTCCGGAGACGGGGAGCAGCATGGCTAAAGACTCAAACCCACCATGGAAAATCCGTAGATGGGACGGAGAGGTGGAATGAAGAAGGAATATTTTGGGATGGAGCACAGGGCTGAAGCATCTCAGAGATACAAAGGAACCGGATTTGGGATCTTTGGCATCTGGAGTGAGGTGTGCTGCTGAATCCTAGACCAGTAGACGTTTTTGGATTAGTCCCTGCGGTTTTTCCAGAGAGGAGAGTTCCTGACTGTCGGTCCGTTTTTGAGAGATTTACAAACAGACTTAGTGTACTCACTTGTCCTGTGTGGACGACTTTTTGTCTAATCAACAAGAGACATACTTTATGTCTTAAAGGGACATTTCAGCCACGTTCTTATGAGTTTCTGTGCAGAAGTTGTGCTAACGCTGAGTTTGAGTGCAGATCTGCCCCCCCCCCATCCCGGGAATCCTCGCAGGCTGAACATTAGATTCTTATGAGGACTAGGAAGGACGGGTCCTTACAAAGACGACTGGGAAGCTGAACATTAGATTCTTATGAGGACTAGGAAGGACGGGTCCTTACAAAGACGACTGGGAAGGACGGGTCCTTACGAAGACGACTGTGAAGGACGGGACCTTACGAAGACGACTGGAAAGGACGGGACCTTACGAAGACGACTGGAAAGGACGGGTCCTTACGAAGACGACAGGGAAGGACGGGTCCTTACGAAGACGACTGAGAAGGACGGGTCCTTACGAAGACGACTGGGAAGGACGGGTCCTTACGAAGACGACTGGGAAGGACGGGTCCTTACGAAGACGACTGGGAAGGACGGAACCTTACGAAGACGACTGGAAAGGACGGGTCCTTACGAAGACGACTGGGAAGGACGGGTCCTTACGAAGACGACTGGGAAGGTCGGGTCCTTACGAAGACGACTGGGAAGGACGGGTCCTTACGAAGACGACTGGGAAGGACGGGTCCTTACGAAGACGACTGTGAAGGACGGAACCTTACGAAGACGACTGGAAAGGACGGGTCCCTACGAAGACGACTGGGAAGGACGGGTCCTTACGAAGACGACTGGGAAGGACGGGTCCTTACGAAGACGACTGGGAAGGACGGGTCCTTACGAAGACGACTGGGAAGGACGGGTCCTTACGAAGACGACTGGGAAGCATGGGTCCTTACGAAGACGACTGGGAAGGACGGGTCCTTACGAAGACGACTGGGAAGCACGGGTCCTTACGAAGACGACTGGGAAGAACGGGTCCTTACGAAGACGACTGGGAAGAACGGGTCCTTATGTTTATGTTTATTTATTTAGCAGAAGCTTTTATCCAAAGCGACTTATAACCTATAGGGCATGTTGTGATCTGTGGGGGAAACCGGAGTACCCGAAGGAAACCCACGCATGCATGGGGAGAACACGCAACTCCACACAGAAAGGCCGCAGCCGAGTTTCGAACCTGCGACCTTCGTGCTGCGAGGCAACAGTGCTAACCACTGAGCCACCATTCAGCCTGGGAAAGACAGGTCCTTACAAAGACGACTGGGAAGGACGGGTCCTTACAAAGACGACTGGGAAGGACGGGTCCTTACAAAGACGACTGGGAAGGACGGGTCCTTACAAAGACACTTCTGAATTTGGGCACAGCCCGTGTGTTGCTGTTGTCCTTCTTCAGCCCTAATCTACTACACTTAAAAAATAAACCTTCACACCACCGTCAATTTTTACTCCTTATTTCAGCAGAAAAACGGAGAACTTCCTGCCTGAAGGCACCAGAAGCGCTACATTTAGCTGCTGCTGCTGCTATCGTCTCTTGTAAATAACCACAGAGAACCCTGCTATCGATCCCACCCAGATTCACGAGGAAAAACATCTTTGTCTGAAATGTTCCTTTAAAGCAGCAGATGTGACCCTGAGGTGGACTTTGCCTTTTGAAGGCGGGGGAGTCGGAGCGCCACGTGTTAGATAAGGTGTGTGTACACCAGACGTGTCCCTGATCCGATCAGCGGTTCGGTGACGGAGCGTCAGAACAAAACCCGACTCGGATGCTCAGCTTTTTATCAGCGGAACCCCCTCAGAGACTGGTGTTTCGCTCAAGCACGCCATTTCTTTACCTTCATGTGTAAAAGTCTGACCTCTGCTCAGCTGCGTTTTAGTGGGAAGATGCTGCTGTTCTGCTCTAAGCAGGAAAACAGATTCATCAGTTAGTGAGAACGGTCTCCTTCCTCACTTTCTGTTGTAGTAGAACAGACGCAGATCTCCTGGTTCTGAGAGGTTCTGGAAACTTCCGACACTCCATCTGCAGTTGAACGTCTCCATGTTGTTGGATAGGCAGCCGGTGAGGTGGGGGGGGACTGTAAGGAGAGAGGGAGAGAGAAATGTGATTACACCACAAAGGTCCTCTCTGTGCTGCTTCTCGTGAAGCTGCGGGATCTGTAACCTAATTCCAGTGATCTGCCGGCCCGCGGGGGCCCGTCGGCGTTTTCCTGGAAGTCGTTGAACAGCCTGTCAGGGGAAATCTGCAGGAGAGTTCACTGCCTCTGCTGTCGTGGAATAATCTGTTTGTTTTCACTTTACTGAGAAACACGGCTGCACAGAAAGCCCGGGGTTTGACCGCTGCCACAAACTAGAACCATATGTGCACAGAGCTGCAGCAGACTCAAACGACCCAGAATGCACTGCAGCACGTTCTGTTGTCTCTGTGTGGAGGTCAGCCCTCGTTCGTGTCTCATCTAAAGGCTTTAAAATAGCCTGTTTTTCTGAATCTCTGCACTGCGGGTATTACCACCTTGAGGTTTAAACCTGGATTTAAAACATCACAGGAAGAGCTGCTGATGACTGTGGAGTCTGAGTTCCTGCCCTGATCCGTACAGGATCGTTGTTTGGGGATGGGATGGCCCTTTGCGACAGGAGAAGCAGGAATGCTTGTTGTGTTTCACAACGATGGCAGCGATGAATGAAAGCTCTCCTTATTTTCTCTTGCTTCCATTCACCAACAACTTTTCCAATTTTCTAAGTGCTGATTGTTTGGCAACGTCAATCAGAATGAGTTAACCGCAAGCCCCGCCCACCGACCCTTCTGGGCCCTTTCTGACTTTGTAAGATTCTGTTAGGTCTGATAAAAGTCCAATAGTGGAATGGGGACTATTGCTTTACTTATATAACAAACACTATCCACAACATTATGACCACTGATAAAGCTGTTTGTGTTTTCTATTATTTTTAGAGGCTCAGGGGTTTATATTTTTTGAATTTGTGGAGATTTAGACTTTTAATTTTCCTCAAATATTCAGGTAAAAGTCTGTGTCTCTGTTTCTACGGTATTTCTGCTCAGTCCTCCCAGACCCCAGCCAGTCCGGTTTCTGCTGGTGGGTGGGGGGGCATGCATGGGACTCACCCATGTTGACTCACAACGGGGAAGGCTGTTGTTGGTTTAGTGTCCAGGAAACAGCGGAGAACGTCTCTGCTAGTAGAAGCTAACTGTTAGCATTAGCACCACACAGCAGAACTCCTCCAGGCTTGTGTTATTGGTGGCGATAAAACATCAACGTTGCAGAGCAGAGTCAGTGGTAGAGTCGTGTTGCTGTTAGCCAATCAGAGGAGAGATGTCCAAATATCAGTAAGTAAGACTCCAAATCCTTAAAAATGTTTTAAAATGATCAGACACCCCAATTTACAATTAATTCAGCATAAAATTCTACACAGAGTACACTATACAGGTCATCGGATGTTCAAGATGGGGTTTGTGTCGTCTGACACCTGTACACACTGCACAAACAACGTTCCTGACAATTACATTCACGCACTGTGGTCCTGCCCACCTGTCCAGGGATTTTGGGGTAGAGTGTGTGAAGACCTGTCAAAGTCTCTGAAATGTCATATCCCAACTTCCCCCTCTCTTTGTTTACTGGGAAACCTGGACAATGTCCCGATTGAAACATCTTTGGTTCACGTGGTTCTGACTGCCACATGCATCGCTAAGAAAACTATCCTCTTGACCTGGAAAAATAGAGAAACTCTCTGTATTAACCAGTATCTGCTTAGTATCTATCTGCTTAGTGAACAAATCACAGAGCTTTATCCGCTTTGTGGGCCAATCAGGGCACTCCATATGCCTGGTGGGTGGGATGATGCAACAGAGTGAAACAAGAGTATGTCACATTCATTGTCCAGTGGAATGCGGAGATCATTTGAAAGACGACGGTAGAACCCGCCCCACAACCGAGAGCCGTCAATGGAGCGTGGCCAGACTAAATAATACATTTATTTAGTCTGGCTTGCCAGGCTAGAATGTTTCTGCAATCAGGAGAATATAGAGAAATGAATCTGAATGATAATCCTAACCCTCACTCAGCTGGAGGTAAACGGCAGGTCAGAGGCAGACTGACAGTTCTGACTGCATCAACATTTCAGAGAGGGTCATGGAGCAGCCCAGGCTGGCTGAGCGAGCGCTCTGAGAGAACAAGGAGAACCTTTCAGAACAGCAGCAGTAGACGATGCATACCTCTGGCCCACTTCAGAGAGCCAGGGCTTAAAAATAACCTGTTTACCAGATCTGCTCCCCGGGACTGTGCTTCATCGGGATTTAGAGGAAAAATATGCCTGACACCCAGCTGTCTGAGGCAATCCTGCCGCTCGTTTTACATGGAAGATCAGGCTGTGGCTGTTTCTAACTCCCATCTGTGTTTAACCACAACAATTAACTAAGACTGATGCCGAATCTGGCTCTTTCTACCGGCTTTGCTGAAGGCTGAAATCCAGAAGATCAAGTGTGGAGTAAAAACTGGTGACCATAACTGGAGGTACCACTGGGTCACTTGTTCATGCTCAGGTGTCGGTCATGTGCCAGACGGGCCACGATCCTCTCGCTCGGGTTACTGCTCAGAAATCTCCCCGCTCGCAGCGCGAAACAGAGAGAAGCAAATTTTTGGTTTTTTATCAGGTAAAAAGAACACATCGCTCCAGAACTCGATGACCTTCACCCTCCAGATCTCCCCACAGATGTACAGGTTCTGAGGACCGACGCCCTTTTCCCGACAATTCACGTTTCCCTACTTCAGCTGGTACACACATCTGCTCCCGTTCACTAGAAATGAGCGGGATGCATCACGTCTGTGGTGGGAACAGCACTGGGGCTCCGCCCACACGCATCACGCACTGTGCGCAGGGCAACAAGAGGTTGGGGAGGGGGCACCAAAAAGAAGAAACTTCCCTGCAATATTACTACCAAGTGAGGCGGAATGTACGTCGCAAAATTTGCGCATTGCCGTGTCGGCGTGGCGCGTTTCTTGGGCACGCTGCTGCGTTAATATTACGCAAATTTTCAGGTGTGGTGTGTCTCGTCATAAGGGCGTATGTGACCTTCATTCCAACACGATTGAGACACTAAACCGTTTACTGATGATTTCACCGCAAATTCTAACTTTTGGTA